AAAAAAAAAAAAAAAAAAAAAAAAAACAGAAAAGGGGAAAAAAGAGAGATATTTCAAAATCTAAGAGTGCTTATAAACAAGGATGTTACTTTCCCCTTTCTTATCCAGAACCACCCCTAATTGAAAGGATCAGTATCTAAAGCAACTGGTGCTGCCCTGCACATGAATCCCCTTTGCACCTCTTCCCTCTTATTTCTTCAGTGGTTTTATTAACATTAGTGACTTATCTAAGTATTAGAATGCTTGGCTGCTTGGAAGCTTATCAACAGCAAATTTTATGGGCTGTTTAGTGATGGAAACAGGAGGAGATGGAGCTCTCCCCCCCAGCTACCTTGATATGGAAGTCTTCAAGAAGCCATGGAATGTGCTCTCTGGTATTTTTGGTATCTTTAAAGTGTCAAGAGTGCAGAATTTCTCTTGTCAGTTGTCACAGTGTGAGTCACAATTAGAGACATCTGCTGTGCATTCACCTCCCCAGGGGCACCGCTCGTTTTTCAGCAGCTTCCTGTTGTTGACAGCACAGTTCCTCCCTGTATCACTCTCCACCAGCACCCATGCTCCTCGCAGACATTGCAGCAGGCTTAAGCACATTTCCCTTGGGAAAGCCCTTCCCCTTGTTTTGCTAGTGATTGGAAAAAATATAGAATGTTGAGAATGCTCTGAAGGCAGAGGCTGTGTTTCTAAACGAACTGAACAAATTCTGTCCTTGTTTTTTTGTTTTTTTTTCAGGAGGACTCAATTGTTTTTTGATCTCTTTCAAAAATCTCCACATTTTCTCTACATCCAATTTTCATTTCAGGCAAGAGAGCAGCTTGAAAAATGAAATGTTATTTGTGCTAAGTCCTTGTCAGTAATTGGTGTGAATGGGTGACTAATACTACCAAAATATTATTCAATTAATTTTTCAAATACTGAAAATAATTTCAAATATGAAATTTTAGATGAGGAACACACTGCCTTCCATTCCTACTCCACCCAATTAAGAAAACAGTTGTTCTGCAAGTTTTTCACACCAAATCCTTAAACTGAGGTAGATTGGCCATCCCAAGCATAGATCATGCTTTGTGCCTGGTTAATGTCTGGACCATGCAGAAACACCAACCACCACCTAGGCTGGGTATGGCTGCCTGAAGCATATATCTACCTATTGTGTGTTCTACCTATTTTGCCCCTGGGGACTAGAAATTTTATTTTCTTAGGTTCTGACCAAATCTCTGATTTGAGATTCTACTTCCCCCAAGAATCCAGCTTTCTTGGAAGGATCTCCATTCCTGCAGGAGCATAAGATCTTAGATATTGCCATTTTCTGTAGTCCTTCTTGCTTGGTCTTGGTCCCGTGCTTCCCTGTTATGTCCCCTACACAAGGAGCAGCCCAACAGAAAATTCCAATATTCAACACAATATAAAAGGCATCTTCCACAAAGATTATTAATTTTATGCACATAACACTTTTTCCTGACCCTTTAGGGCTGCTCCTGGGCCTGGTTCCTGACCTGACACTGGTGAAAACCACAAATGTCCATGGGGCTCCCCCACTCCAAATAAAGTTGTAAATCATCTCTTTTGTTCCACATCCTGCCAACAAATATTGCATAACTTTTTTTTTTTTTTCTTGTGATTTGCTGGGATCTTTCCAGAGCCTGTGTTTGACTTCTCCCAGGAACAGACTCTTCCTTATATATTCACAGTGCTCCAAGCACAAGTTTATCAGACTCCAGCTCATGATGCATGTGCACTCATTCAGCCACAACACGTCAATGGGATGCACAGAAGCCTTTCATTTGCCTTCTAAAATCAGGACAGTGTAACAGCTGAAATATTTCTCACTGACCCTGGTCTTCAACACAAAACTAAACTTCACTTTGCTATTTCAACATTCACTCCACCAGGATTATATTTAAGGTCAACACAGTTTGGGCCCTGGACCCAGACCGCTTAAATTATTCAAAAAAATATGAACCCACGCCAGTTAAATCAAGAAAATATGTTCTAGAAAAGATAAAACACATCCTCTGTTTAAAAACACATTTCCAAAAAGCAACTTTAAACTCATAAAACTGTTATGAAATCCACAGCTCCTCTAAACATGAGGAGAACTCTCTGCAAGCTAGAATATTAACTCATATTTGTTGGGTAATCTAGTAAATCCAGATGGGGAGAATTTGGAATGGAAAAAATGGATTCTTTCAGTGTTACCTCAGATTGTTCATCCATTACACAGCCCAGGCACGTATCTGCGTTGAAGGCTTTCAATGTTCCACAGCTGAATTCTCACTTAAAATCTGCATTTGCTGAAGGCATGAAAACCTGGATTCAAAATAGTCTCTACAGGATCAATCATGGAGCTGCCACTAAAAGGCCTTAAAATGCATTTGCCACTCAATAATTATTGTTCCAGTAGACTGTAGCAAATTATTTTTACAGATTACAAACCCACTGCCTTGGCCACCTATTAAACACAATCTTCTTGGACCAAAGAGCTCTTTCTGATAACTGTTGTTCTAAAAAGTCAATACAAGTCAAGGTTGGGTATTTTCCATTTACAAGGCTTGGAGAACTGGATATGACAGCCTGCTCATCACACTTCATTCCTCTGATCTTTGTTTCCTGCTCATTCTACCAGTAACTTCAGTCCATTTTTGTACAGTAATTTCCCAGCATTTTAATGATGGAACCATAAGCAAAGCTACACAGCTAAATAGTTTATTCTTAGCAAATAAAGCTATGTGTTTGTATCCTGGGTCATACCTGCCAGAAGTCGCATGTTTTTAAAAGGAACATCCAGCCATAAAGAGTAAGATGTACTTTGAAATGAAATTTAAATTAAATTTAATGGAAATGCACTCAGTCCTTTGCAGGAGAGCAAACTGGTAGTAGGGTGGATTGAAAAATCAAAATCATACTGAGGGACAGTATAATTCTTTTCAAGCAAATCTGTTTAATGTATAAAAATTATCGTGACTGAAGGAATCTGGTTTTGCACTGAAAACCTCCAGCATAACATCACAGAGGGACCTGAGGCCTTGCATTTTAATTATTAATTTCATAAAGGATCCCAAGAGCAATAGAAAGGTCATGAGAGCTGCTCCAATCCATGGGCAGTTAAGCAGGAGAATGCTTGGGTGCCCTTTAGCCTTTGAGTGTGCTGCAGGACAGGGGGGTTTGGTGCTAAACGACAAATTGAGTTAGAAATATTTAAGTCATAAACCATAGTAAATCTTTTAGCACTTGAAACACCATGAGACACTCCAAGCTGAGAGCAAATGAAGTGTTAGTCTATGCACGTTTAAAAATGCACAGAGGCTGTGTTTACTGAATTATCCATTTCTTCACTATGTCTCCTTTAGGAAGCTGACATCCAACAGTTTCCCACCAAAAGAAACAATTTATGAAAAGTGCCTCTATCGTGGGTTAAGAAAAGAAAATAATGTGCATCTCTCTGAAAGCAAAATAATGTAGGTTGCAAAGTCAAGGACAGCTAAATTAGGAAGTGGCAGATTTATGTGTGCCTGCATAACCTCTGCTTGGCCCTCTTGTAGGTCCTGTGCCCCGAGTGAGACAGAGGTCCTGTGGAAAAAATAGTATGTGATTATGCAATTAAAGACTCTATCTTAACACAAAAAGCATCTGAATTGAGGTTCTGTTGGCATCTGTGAATATAACATTTCATAACTTAAATTCTGGGCTTTGCAACCTCAGCACAGAGTTTCTGTCAGGTGGTATCTTCACATGGCTTTTATACATAGGTGCAAATTAATTCTAGCCAAATTACCAAGACTTTATTGCCACACAACAGTTTTGTCCTTACTGTGAGTTGAAGAAAGAAGAATATCAGGACTCATCTGTAAAAGATGCTCCTCCTGGAATGGGAAGAATAGCTGTAGCCCTTGAGTGGAGTCAGCAGAAACTTCATATAAAATTGGTTCATCTTCCCTTGTTTACTGGTCAGTGTTGTGATCAATATCAAAATGAGCACACTGAAATAGATTATTGCTGCCTAGATGAATCTCACCATATGCTTGGCTTTTGTAATCAGAGACCTCTGAAATGAGAGGGAGATAGATTGTTTCTTCCTAAAAGCCTGCACAGAATTCCTAAGGAAGACTCATATGGACAGGAACCTTCCTACCAAAAGTCTTCTGACCAACAGGACTGCACACTCCTGGGAAGGAGAAGGTTTGAAGGAATTGCCACCACACCACCACCACCACTTCTTCATGCCAAGTCCCCTGGGGCCTGTCCTGTTCTGACACAACCCTTTCACAAGAGAGGAGAGCAAACTTTTTGCTTCCCTGCTAAAAGCAGACAGCAGAATCCAGCATAAACTTTGAGCTGAATTTGAGTCAATGTAGTTCTTGTTATTTTAATCTCTCCTTTCTTTGCTTTATGGATTTAGTCAGGGAAATCAAATATTGAAAAAGCATGTTA